GCCAGGCCGGGGCGGGTCGGGCCCTAGCGTGGGCTCCGGCTCCACCTCCGGCTCCGGCCCTGCGGACTCGGTGATGCGGCAGGATTACCGCGCCTGGAAAGTACAGCGGCCCGAACCCAGCTGCCGGCCGCGCAGCGAGTACCAGCCGTCGGACGCGCCCTTCGAGCGCGAGACCCAGTACCAGAAGGACTTCCGCGCCTGGCCCCTCCCGCGCCGCGGAGACCACCCCTGGATCCCCAAGCCTGTGCAGATCCCCGTGTCCTCTCAGACTTCCGCTCCCATTCTCGGGGCACCCAAGCGCAGGCCGAAGAGCCAGGAACGCTGGCCCATGCAGTCCGAGGCCATGGAGCAGGGAGGAGCTGGTGTCCTGGCGGCAGGAAAGGCTTCGGGTGGAGATGAGCGCGACACCCGCAGGAAGGCTGGGCCCGCCTGGATGGTGCGCCGCTCTGAGGGCCACGAGCAGACGCCGATGCCTGCTGCTCAGACCCAGGCCGAAGAGGGAGGCCCGGCGGCGGGAAAGGCATCGGGTGGAGATGAGCGCGACACTCGCCGGAAGGCCGGGCCCGCCTGGATGGTGCATCGCACCGAAGGGCACGGGCCCGAGCAAAGCCCGATGCCTGCCGCGCAGACCCAGGCCGAAGAGGGAGGCCCGGCGGCGGGAAAGGCATCCGGTGGAGATGAGCGCGACACCCGCAGGAAGGCCGGGCCCCCTTGGATGGTGAGCCGCTCGGAGGGACGTGAGCAAACTCCGATGCCTGCTGCTCAGACCCAGGCCGAAGACGGAGGCCCGGCGGCGGGAAAGGCATCGGGTGGAGATGAGCGCGACACCCGCAGGAAGGCCGGGCCCGCCTGGATGGTGAGCCGCTCCGAGGGACGTGAGCAAACATCGATGCCTGCTGCTCAGACCCAGGCCGAAGACGGAGGCCCGGCGGCGGGAAAGGCATCGGGTGGAGATGAGCGCGACACCCGCAGGAAGGCTGGGCCCCCCTGGATGGTGAGCCGCTCCGAGGGACGTGAGCAAACATCGATGCCTGCTGCTCAGACCCAGGCCGAAGAGGGAGGCCCGGCGGCGGGAAAGGCATCGGGTGGAGATGAGCGGGACACCCGCAGGAGAGCCGGGCCCCCGTGGATGGTGCATCGCACCGAAGGGCACGAGCAGACGCCCTTGCCTCCAGCCCAGACCCAGGCCGAAGAAGGAGGCCCGGCGGCTGGAAAGCCATCCGGTGCGGATGAGGGAGACACCCGCAGGAAGGCCGGGCCCGCTTGGATGGTGCGCCGCTCCGAAGGCCACGAGCCCTCCATGCAGTCCCAGGCTGCAGGCCCTGATGGTGGCAAGGGACGAGCAATGGCAGATGCTCTGAACCGGCAAATCCGCGAGGAGGTGACTAGTGCAGTGAGCAGCTCCTACAGGTGAGATGCAGGCAGCAGCTTCTGCTGTGGGGCTGGTCACCCCATCCTCTGCGGAGGACTGCTCAGGGTCTTTCTCCCCTTCTGAGGAGACATTTAGCCTGACATTTAGCCTTCTCTTGTTTACCAGACCACACCCTCCTCTAACCACATTCCAGGCTTCTCTGCCCTGGTCTGTGGAAAGTCTGTTAGTATTGTCCATCCTAGTCTCCCCAGCTCTCTCGCTCTCTCTCTCCCCTTATCATTTTAGCCACCTTTCCCCCCCCCACCCTCCCCCTGCTCAGATCCCTGCTGCCCAAAAGAGACCTTGTCAGTTTTTCCAAAGCTGATCTGTCATTCCCTCTCCCACCCAACTTACCTGCTGCCTTAGCCTGATGCTGCCCCTACCACCGTGTCCTCATCCTAGAAAAATTGCTTCCAAGGGATTTCTCCCTCACCGTGCTAGCCCACTTCACTTGGCCTTCATTCTTCCTCTTTTCTCAATCCTTGGGCTACACCCAGGCACCACACCCTTTTTTAGATTGCCCACAGGATCCTTCCTCTTCTAGTACTCCTTCTACTTTGAAGCCATCTCTCTCCCACCCACCCCCCCATTTGGCTTTTGTTTTGTTTTTGTTTTTTTTTTACTGTGACTGACACATTGGGCAAATTATTAACCTTCATGTGCTTCAGTTTCTTTTTATTTGTAAGCTATAATTGATAATGGTTATCTCTTAGGATTGCTCACAAATTTATTGATATTGGGTTAATTAACTCTTTTATGTGTGTGTGTGTATATATATATATATACATGTATATATATGTATATGTATGTATATATATGTATGTGTATATATATATATACACATACATATATATATATACATATATATATATATATATATATATATTTGCTTGTGCTGGTCCTGGGGTTTGAACTCAGAACCTAGGTACTGTCCCTGAACTTTTTGCTCAAAGCTAGTGCTCTAGCACTTGAGCCACAGCTCCACTTCCAGCTTTCTGGTGATTAATTGGAAATAAGAGTCTCATGGACTTTCCTGCTCAGGCTGGAGATCCTAAGATCTCAGCCTCCGGAGTAGCTAGGATTATAGGTGTGAGCCACTGACACCCAGCTTAATTCATACATATTTAAATACCTACTATAATACTAAGCACTGTGCTAGGCATAGTAAGGATTGAGGGAGATGATACAAGAGACCTCTCCATGCCTACCACGTAGTGGCACTTGGTTTTGTTTCCATTCCTACTTTCTTCATCATACAGCTCTACATTATTTCTATACATTTCCACTTCCTAGTGCCTCCAGCCTTCTCTTCTAAGTGAGGTATCTCCTTTCTCTGTACACCCTTCATGTTTTCAGATGTATTTCTTATTCACTCACCACCAACAACTCCCTCTTTAGCACATTCACATTCCTTGTAAATGAATGCTTTCATGCACTAAAATACCCAACCCACCCCCAACCTCTAGAATTCTCCCTGTGCTGCAGCCTCAGTTCTTCTGTCTCTTTTCTTGCCCTTCATCTATTCAGTATATTTTTCTGGCTGCTTAGCTTTCAGTCCTGCCCTATTGTTTCAACCAGTATCAGTTAACTAACAGCTTCCAGTTGATGCCGAATATGTTACCCTGGGTTTGAAGGTCTCTGAAGAAGCAGATGTGCACAATGAGTAATTAAGCTAGATGCATTCCAAATGTGGCTTATAGGGTCCTTCATCACTGCCACAGCCATTTATGCCTTCCTCCAGCAGGAGGGTGCAGTGGGGAGGAGCACAGAGTTAGGGTGCTATGCTAAGTCCGTGTATGCGGCTTTCTGTCAAACTGATGTCCTGCAACGAACATGAGAAGCACTCCCTCTTATGTTGCAGAACGACAAGACCCACACAGACAATGCCTTAGAATTTCATGTTTTCCTACATTTTCATGTCTTTTACTTCCCACTTATACGTTCTTTTTCAATCTCTTTGTTTTTCTTTCTTTCTCCTCTCTCTCTCTCTCTTTCTCTCTCTCTCTCTCACTCACACACACACACACACACACACACACACTCACTCACTGGCCTTCCAGCAGTAGTACTTCACTTCCTTTCAAAGAAAGCCCTGGGTGAGCAAGGACACATCTCCTTTTCCTTTGATAGTCCAGGGAGTGGAATGTTCACAATATTTTTAATGCTGCAACTAAAAGAAGATCTAAAGAGAAGAAAGGAAGCAAACAATCAAGGGCATAAAAATGGAATACCAGACGTAATTTTCTGGTTCTATTCACGGCTGTCTTGTGTATATTCCCTGTGAAGTCCAAGGCTAGCCAACCATCAGAGATTCTTGGCACAGCTGCTTCATCTTCCTACTCCCCTATTACCATCTGGTGGCAAGGGGAACCTTATCACTCAGCAGGCAGGAGCTCCCTCTTCCACCTTCATGCAGCCAGTGCCAATCCAGATAGAGGCAAGGGTCTCAAAGTTGAGTGACCCTCTCTGTTCATGTTTTCATACTGGCAGAGGACTTGCTTTGTTCATGGATGATGGAATGACTGCACATGTCAGATACAACTCACTTCAAATTTTGGGTTGCAGATGACACAGAAAAAGGTTTTATAAATCAAATTATCATTGACATGGAGTCTTACTTTGTTTACACTATGGTGACTAGGTCCTTCCATAGGTTTTAAATTTTATTTATTTACTTTAACAACTTCTATGTAGTTTTTTCCCTTGCAACAAAGCCTGAGTCTGAAATAAACAGGCTTCACAGTTCTAATCACATGCTGGAAAGGGCTAGAACTGGGTAGGGGAAAGAGATTCTCTTGCTGTTGGAGTGAATGACTGTTTTTGGCATTTATTAGGAGTCTCCCAACCTGTTAAACAATTATTAAACATGTCACCTTTTATTGTTATTATCAAGTAGAGGTATAAAGAGGTTACAATTCCATAAGTCGGTTATGAGTAAATGCTTTTTGACAATGTTACCCCTTCCTTCATTTCACAATGCTTTTTTAAAAAATTCCGGTCTTCTATAAAACATAATTACACAGATGATTTGGGTACCATCAGTTCCATTTTGCTGTATAACCAAAAGAGTTTTAAATCATTAGGAGAATGAATGCTAAGAGACATAAGTTTCTGTAATGAACACCTTGAATGCGTGACAAATTTGTGTGAAATTTAACAGTTTTTTGTCCGGAAGAAAAATAATTTACCAATAATTAGGAAGTGTACTTTGGATGAAAGTAGATATGAAGAATATCAGTAAATACACCGTAGAGGAAAAATACCTAGAAACTATAGGGTTAATTGTTCATTTATTTTCTTCCCTATTTTCTGATACCTTTTCCTTGCTTTGATCCTGGGTATGTCTTGAATTTAACTATGCCCCATCGCCACCATAAATGGGCCTTAAATCACCATAGAAACCAAATAAGGCTCCATCTCAAAGATAATTTGATTTACCAAACCTTTTCTTCTGCCACTCTACATAAATCATGGCATGTTTACACCATGGTGACTGGTTCCTCCCATGGGTTTTTCAAGTGACATCCATCACATGGTATCAATGTGAGCAGTTTGCTTGAATAGGGAAAGGACACATCCATCAGCTTAATGAATTCATATATAATGTAAAATAAATGTTCAACATTTAGAACCATGTATATGTATATATATATGTATATATATACACTAATACATTGTCAATAAATAATATCGAATATTCTTTGGCACCATGGTTTTGAGAAAATTTCCTTATGAAACAGTACATCTGATCCATAATCTATTCATACTTGCCTGGAATTTTTTTCATTCAAGTGGTATCTGAGGTGTCTTTGGAATTATTCACAATCATGAGGTTTATTAATTTTTAATATACTCATTTTACATTGACAATATTATAAAATTGAGAGGCATGTCTTTATTACCATTTCTAATGTTAAGAATGAATTTCACTGGGAGACCATTTATGGCTTTAGACCTGGCATTCTCAATTAGAAAATAGATGAGTCATAAGGAGGAGATTAAAATTCCCTTTCCAGTCAACCCCATTGCCCTGGCCATCAGTTAATAGGGATAGATGGGGTAGCAGGTGCTCCCTATAGAAATGCTAATGAGAAACTTTTCTTAGAAAATATCAGCTGAGACTCTAGGAGGTAGAATTAATAAACCGGAGGCAAAATACTTGAAAAATGAGAGCAATAACAAGGAAGTCAGAAAGAAAAAGAGCCTTTGATGTCTGCCCTCCAGCCTTGCATGAAGGTTAGAGAACAGTTCATTTGACTTAGTTTATGTGACAGGGAATTGCCCCATGCTCCACCTGCTCATTTTCCTTTTGCCTTAGTCCCAGTAGTACCTCAAAGCTGATCTCAGATGCCAAATCTTCAGTGACATCTTCCTAGGTCCTGCCATTTAAAATATTTTTTTCTATTCTCACTTTATTGTCTTATCACGGTCTATTTGTCAATACTTTTGCTCATATCTTTCCCCCAATCATGAGCACTGAAAGAGCTGTGTTTGTATCTTGGTGCTGTTTTAGATTTGTTAATGCAATGGAATTTTGGTGAAATTTTTATTCACTTCCATATACACACACATATGCATACATACATATACATATACATACACACATACACACATGTTTTTGGTAGTACTGAGGTTTGAACTGAAGTCCTTGTACTTGCTAGACAGTCTCTCTGCTATTAAGCTATACTTCCTCCAGCCTTTTTTTTCTCTAGTTATTTTGAGTCAGTCTCACTTTTTGCCCAGGACTGTGCCTAGACCATCATCCTCCTATATTATGATTCCCCCACATAAGTGAGATGACAGGTATACATCAACACATTTCTTCCATTGAGATGGAACCTTGTGAATTTTTTTGCCAGGCTAGCCTAGAACTATGATCCACCTCATCTCAGCTTTTACATAGCTGTGATGACAGGTGTATACTAGTGTGTCCAGCTGTTGGTTGAGAAGGAGTCTCCTGAACACTTTCTCCTGGCTAGCCTTGAACAGTATTACTCAG